TGAGTGGGAAGGAAGGAAGGAAGGAAGGAATGGAGGGAGGGAGGGAGGGAGGGAGGGAGGAACGGAAGAAAAGAGAGAGAGAGATACAGAAGAGAAGGACAAAATGCTGCTATATTTCCAAGGAGACTACCAGCCTGCATTACATCCCTGTTATTTCTCCTGGGCTACTACTTTCAGAAAATGGGCGCTCTCTGATTGACCAAGCCCTGACCCTGCCAACTCCCTTGTGTATATATAGTGCCAGAAAGCATTTTGTAAGCATGCCTCTTGTGCTTGTGGAAAAACCCCGTACGCTCCTGGACCTCCTAACTAAGCCACTTCTACGGGGACGACACCAGAGACGTAACACCACCTTTAGCCTATGAAAAACACAGTGTTAACCTTCACCCAGTCGCAGTGGCTCTTGAGTGTTTTCCCATATTGCATATTTCATGGAAATCAATGGGAGTCCCGGCTGAAGGCAGCCCGTTCCAGAAAACCCTGGCTTATCTTTAGAACCATTCAGATTACAAATTAAATAGCTTACCAAACTTGATTAAAAACAAAAAACAAAAAAAACACCTTTCCAAGCAAAGACACAAAGCAGCATTTGAAGCTTTCGTCCCGTTTGCCGAATTATAACCCCCCCCTCCGATTGATACGCAGAGGACTCACATCAAAAAGCTGCACGTAATTTATAATTAAGTCCTCCACCACGTCAACCTCCTCGCTCGTCTGTCCTTTGGTCTGAAAGAGGCAGGAGGACAAAGCCATCGCCAGGTGGTGAGGGTCCATCAGGTTGATTTCTGAACATTTCTGCACCCTGTGGATAAAGTTAATAAATCCATTTTTTTTAAAGGAAAAAGGAAATAGCAGGCATCGATAGGCACAGAGGTGGCCGCAGGTTGCCTTTTCCAACAACTGAGTTCAACCCAAAGAGACGTTCTCGATAAATTGATATTGTGCGCGTTATCTTTTCCCAGCTCATTAACTGATGTTTCCCATGATGCTATTTCGACGCAACCCTTGTCTTCTACTTGTCGGGAAGATGCCTTGGAGAAAATGCTCTTAATGGATGAGAACATGATAGAGAATGAGGATCAAAGCAAAAAAGTCTATTTAGGCCAATAAGCTAAACTTGCAGGTAGAGCTTATCCTTCTGACCTTAGGGAAAACATGAGTAGAATAGAATAGAATAGAATAGAATAGAATAGAATAGAATAGAATAGAATAGAATAGAATAGAATGTGAAATGGAATAAGAACAGAGTAGAGTAGAGTAGAGTAGAGTAGAGTAGAGTAGAGTAGAGTAGAGTAGAGTAGAGTAGAGTAGAGTAGAGCAGAATAGAATAGAATAGAATAGAACAGAATAGAATAGAATGTGGAATGGAATAAGAATAGAATAGAATAGAATAGAATAGAATAGAATAGAATAGAATAGAATAGAATAGAATAGAATAGAATAGAATAGAATAGAATGTGGAATGGAATAAGAGTAGAGTAGAGTAGAGTAGAGTAGAGTAGAGTAGAGTAAAGTAGAGTAGAGTAAAGTAGAGCAGAATAGAATAGAATAGAACAGAATAGAATAGAATGTGAAATGGTATAAGAATAGAATAGAATAGAATAGAATAGAATAGAATAGAATAGAATAGAATAGAATAGAATAGAATAGAATAGAATGTGGAATGGAATAAGAGTAGAGTAGAGTAGAGTAGAGTAGAGTAGAGTAAAGTAGAGTAGAGTAAAGTAGAGCAGAATAGAATAGAATAGAACAGAATAGAATAGAATGTGAAATGGTATAAGAATAGAATAGAATAGAATAGAATAGAATAGAATAGAATAGAATAGAATAGAATAGAATAGAATGTGGAATGGAATAAGAGTAGAGTAGAGTAGAGTAGAGTAGAGTAGAGTAGAGTAGAGTAGAGTAGAGTAGAGTAGAGTAGAGCAGAATAGAATAGAACAGAATAGAATAGAATGTGGAATGGTATAAGAATAGAATAGAATAGAATAGAATAGAATAGAATAGAATAGAATAGAATAGAATAGAATAGAATAGAATAGAATAGAATAGAATAGAATATGTAATGGAATAAGAATAGAATTAGATTGGATTGGAATGAGAGACAGGCGATGAGCAAGGGCCACCCCTACCTGATCCTAGAGCACGGAGAGTGGAGAGAAGGAGGGAACAATGCAGGCAGGCTCAACTATTCGGGAGGAGAGCGTCCCGCCCCTCTCCACAAGGTACACCTGGAGAATGAGACTTAAGGAGACGCTGTGGAGAGAGGCATTTGTCAGGGACAAACGCTGATTCCTTGGAGTTTGGTGTGCTGTTGCTGATCTTGAAAACAACTCTCTGATCTCTCATTTGGTGTTGTGATTTCCGCTTGGAAACCCTAAAACTCTGACCGTTGGACTGGCTGACAAACTTGATTTGGTGTTCAAAAACCTTGGATTGAATTTTGGCTTCTCTTCTGAAACTGCTCAGGCAAGCTTGTATTTCCACAGACTCGCTAGATTTTGGATGTATGTTTCATTCCTTGTTATCTACGTGGCCTTGAGTAAATTACTCTTCTAATCTAACTCTAGGTGAAACGACTTGCAGCCAGAGGCTGCTGAAGGGATGTGTGTCTTACTTCGTTCTGGGGCTTGCCAGAGATGTGGGAGCCTTTGGGGAAAATTGGAGCAAACAAAGGGCGGTTCAAACTGCTAGTTGACTATTTTGCCTCTGTGCTGTGCCCTGGGTCATCACAAAGACTCTCTAAAAAGAAGGCAAATGACCAGCAGTCTGCAAGGAGTATAAATCCTTCCATTTCCCACCATCCCAGTCAGAGCTGAAGAAGCTTCTGGGATGAGAAGCAAAACATCATCAAAGAAAAATAAGGAAGTCCAGTTGCCTCCTGAAAAAGCACCTTTGGGACAACCCAGACCTGGATGACGGAGAATCTCCATAGATACACTGACCTGTACAGGTGTTCCATTAATGCTGCCAGAGTTGCTTTGTTGATGGGTGGAAGCGTGCGAATAAAGCTGCTGTATTTTCGCACCCTTTCTTTGTCATCCAGGGTATCTGAGGGAGAAGAAGGGAGGGGGGAGCATAGAAATTAAATTATCCGGGATTAACAACCACGTGGTCCAAAAGACAAAAGACAAAAGGAATTGAGCTGCCCCTTCAGCAGCACTGAGTCACTGGCAAAGGTCACTTAGCCAATCAGCCTCTCCTTCATCGGCACAATACAAACACGGGTGGTCCTCACCTTACGACCACAACTGAGCCCAATGTTTCTGCTGCCGTTAAGTGAGACACTTGTGTGAAGTGAATATTACATCCAGTTCTGCTTACCACACTTTAAGAAAAAAGATGTTGAGACTCTGGAAAAAGTTGCAGAGAAGAGCAACAAAGATGATTAGGGCGCTGGAAGCTAAAACCTATGAGGAACGGTTGCAGGAATTGGATACATCTATCTAATGAAAAGAAGGACTAGGGGGGACATGATAGCACTGTTCCAATATTTCAGGGGCTCCTCAAGGGGGTCAAACTATTTTCCAAAGCACCATAAGGAAAGACAATAAACAATGGATGGAAACTAACCAAGGAGAGAAGCAACCTAGAACTAAGGAGAAATTTCCTGACAGTGAGAACAATCAACAGTGGAACGGCTTGCCTTCAGAAGTAGTGGGTGCTCCATCACTGGAGGCTTTTAAGAAAAGATTGGACAACCATTTGTCTGAAATGGTATAGAGCAGGGGTCCCCAATCCCTGGTCCATGGACCAGTATCAGGCCGTGGCATACCAGCAACCGGTCCGCACAAACAAGCAAAGCACCATCCGTGGGATGCAGGCAGCACACAAAACCACGTACTCTCCAGTCCACGGAAAAACCTCTCTCCACGGAACCGGTCCCTGGTGCCCAAAAGGTTGGGGATCTCTGCTCTAAATCAAGAGTCTCCAACCCCCGGTCTGTGAGCCAATACTGGGATGCAGCATGCCAGTAACTGGTCTACACAAACAAGCAAAGCCCCATCCGTGGGATGCAGGCAGCACACAAAACCACTACTCTCCGATCCATGGAAAAACCTCTCTCCACAGAACCAGTCTCTGGTGCCCAAAAGGTTGGGGACCCCTGCTCTAAATCAAGGATCTCCAACCCCCGGTCTGTGGGCCAGCAACCGGTCCGCACAAACAAGCAAAGCCCCATCCACAGGATGCAGGCAGCACACAAAACCATGCACCCTCTGGTCCACAGAAAAGCCTGTCTTCACGGAACGGGTCCCTGGTGCTCAAAAGGTTGGGGACCTCTGGTATAGGTCTCCTGCTCGAGCAGAGGGTTGGACTAGAAGACCTCTGAGGTCCCTTCCACCTCTATTATTCTATGTTTTCTGTTCTACCTTAGGCACGGTAGATAAGGTTTCAGAGCTATTCCATAATGCATTACCTAATGCTGAGATCCAAAAAGGATAAAGTTCTTTGGTCAGTAGTGCATCGTCTATTTCAGAAAGAAAACATTTTAGGGTATCAGTAACATCTTCCAGACGGTTCTTCCCAGTCCTCAGCTTAACGCTCCTGGCATCTTTCTTGAAACCTTCCAAAAGCTCCCTGACACATAAAGGATCTCCATTCTTCAGGTAGATATGTTTGCTTCCCAAACCTTAAATAAGAAAAAAAGAGGTTATCAACCAAATACATAAAAAAATAAAATAAAATAAAACAGTGTCAAAGAAACAAGATGCTTCATGCCGTTATATCTGGAACCACTTCATATAATGGCATAGAGCATCTTGTTTATGCTTCATCTGCAGAAAATGTCCCAAAGGTGCTTTTTTTCAGGAGACAACTGGACTTCCTGGTTTTTCTTTGAAGACGTTTCGCTTCTCATCCAAGAAGCTTCTTCAGTTCAGACTGGATGGTGCGGAATGGAAAGATTTATATTCTTTGCAGTCATCTGGTCATTAGCGCTCTTTCTGAGAATCGTTGAGGCCACTTGGAGGTTTATCTGTGCTCCCAGGCTCTCCTGAATAGTGAAAATGGGTGTGGAGCCTTCTTGGAACTGCTGAAAGGACTGTGTTGAGACTGGAGACATCCGTCTCCATCCTCCTGTGTTGAGAGAGGGCCAATCAGGTGGCCTTGAGGACACAGATTAACACACACCCCCAAAAGTGGCCTCAAGGACTCTCTAAAAGAATGCAAATGACCAGCTGTCTGCAAGGAATATAAATCCTTCCATTGGGCACAACAATTGGCTGTTAAGTGAACCTAACTTCCCCGTTGATTTTGCTCATCGGAAAGTCACAACAAGGGATCACGTGAACTTGGGACACTGCGAACTGTCAGTTGCCAAGTGTCTGGATTTTGATCACATGACCATGGGGATCATGCAATGGTCAGAGGGATGAAAAACAGTCGTAAGATACTTTTTTTTCAGTGCAGCTGCAACTTCAAACAGTCACTAACCAAACTGTGGTAAGTCAAGGACTTCCTGTCCCGCACAGGGCATCATCACTGTGCAGTTAGTTATTCCCTCTGTCTAATACGAATAAAAGAGATCCCTTGGGTTCTCTAAGATACGCTAATTTTAATTTTCCAGCCCTATTGCTCTCATAATGAGATATGGTGGTATCTTGATACTCAACTGCTTGGAAACTCATCAAATTTGGTACACAATGCATTTTGATGCAAAAAATGTTGTCTTGGTACTCGTTGTTTATTTGGTACTCAATGCACAAGTTAGAACTTGTTGATGTCAGCTGCCTTCGGACTCACTACATCAGGGGTCTTCAAACTTGGCTCTTTTATGACTTGTGGACATCAACTCCCAGAATTCCTCAGCCAGGCACGCTGGCTGAGGAATTCTGGGAGTTAAAGTCTTCAAGTCATAAAAGGGCCAAGTTTGAAGACCCCTGCACTACATTATTCCTTATGGGAAAAAATTCTTTGGTACTCATTGTGCCTCCTGGAAGCAACTAACAATGAGTAACAAGGTAGCACTGTACACATTCCATGCTCAACACAACTACTTCAAACTGAGCTTTACAGCAAACGCCACTCAAAGCGTAGTCTTTACAGATCACAGCTCAAGCCCACCTATTGTAATCTGATGGCGACGCTTCTTAAGTACTCTATCCGAGTGCATCTCCAATTTTCAGGAATCTGAACAAACGCACCCTCTCCACTCACCATACTGCGTAACAAATGCGATACAGCTGGTCACTATAATCGGCACATCGTTTTTGCTGAGCTGCTGATCTTCTAACATGTTGCCATCTGTACCAGCTGCTTTTTCAATTGCGCTACGCCAGACTGTGAAATCCAACTTGGTATGGCCGCGGATGTATAATGTTCTGCAAAAAAAAAAGTTTGAGGAAAGATGTCGAAAAGGAGAGAGAGAGAGAGAGAGAGAGAGAGAGAGAGAGAGAGAGAGAGAGAGAGAGAGGGGGGGGGGGAGGGGGGGGGGGAGAGGGGGGGGGNGGGAGGGAGGGAGGTGAAAATGCTCTCTCTTTAAATGAAAAGCCACGGCAAGAACCGATCGCACAAACGCTGCAACTGCAAAGCAAGTTCAGGAAACTTCTGCTGGCTGTTGCAGAGACCAGATATTCCATTTAAGAAAAGCACACCTTGTCTGAGTAAGAAGCTGAGACAGTCAGGCTTGGCTCATGCTTGGATGAGATAGACAGCCCAAAATCTCAGTGCTGTACAACAGAGGTCCCCAACCTTTTGAACACCAGGGACCAGTTCCGTGGAGAGAATTTTTTCCACGGACCAGAGGAGGCGTGGTTTTATGTGCTGCCTGCATCCCACGGATGGGGCTTTGCTTGTTTGTGTGGACCGATTGTTGGCATGCCACGGCCCGGTACCGGTCCATGGACCGGTGGTTGGGGACCCCTGCTGCAGAATGTAGTGGCAATGTGGAAGACCATTGTGAGGAATTAATGAGATATTTTGATTTCTCCTACATATTAAGAAAAAAGCTTAGAGGTTTAGAGCTCATTCTGAGTTGACTTCCTTGTTTTTCACTCTCATTGGCTGAAGGAGAAAGAGAAGGAACGTTCACACAGCTTCAAAGCTTTTCTAGCTGTAAAAGTCTGACTTTCAAGTCATCTGCCAGCCACTCAAGGTTTGATAACACGGATAAACCTCCAGGTGGCCTCAACGACTCTCTAAAAGAAGGCAAATGACCAGCTGTCTGCAAGGAGTATAAATCCTTCCACTCCCCACCCTCCAGTCAGAGCTGAAGAAGCTTCTTGGAGAAGCGAAACATCTTCCAAGAAAAACAAGTAGGTCCAGTTGCCTCCTAAGAAAGCATCTTTGGGACAATTATGACCTGGATGTCTGAGAATCTCCATAGACCAGGGGTGTCAAACTGCCGGCCTGCGGGCTGGACACATCACACAGGAGCCATGCCCACCCCATTGCTGGCAATGGCAAAACTGTCCCGATATGTTGCGCGATGTCACGTGATGTCGCGAATTTGACATGTCTGCCACAGGCAATCCTTTTCCTCTTCCTCTGCTCTGCAAACTCTGTTCCCGTTTGGCAGTGATGATGTTACCTAGCTTGTTAATAAAATATCCTTTTCCTTCTCCTCCTTTGCTTCCTCCTCCTTCTCCTCCTCCCCCCTTGTCCTCTTCCTTCTAGCACTGAGGATGTTACCCAATGGTGGGATTCAGCCGGTTTGCACCAGTTCATCAACTTTTGATGAGTTCAGAGAACCAGCTGAATGAACACTGCTTCCAGTAGTCCGTTCTGGGCCTCAAGAGGCCTGGAGGAGGCCTCCCAGGGCTAGAATGGCCTGCTAGAAGTGCATGGATGCCACTTCCGGAAGTCTGTTCTAGGCCCCAGAGGCCTGGAGGAGGCATCCCAGGCCTAGAACGATC